CCATTTACGCATGACTGGCTCGACTTTGTTCAAGGCGCGCGCCTACCTCGTGCGCAATATCAAGGTGTCATGCCGGTGAGTGACGGAAAACCGCCGGTGTTACGTTCGTCGACGGACACGAAGTTGTCCCCATGTACGATCGCACGAAATCCGAAATTGTATCGCGCGAAATCCATCGAGTAACGATCGAGAACATTGGAGATCATTTCGAAACGAGCGACCGATCAAGTTTTTGAGATCAGAGAAATATATGTAAGATGTCCAATAATAGACAGTCTTTTTATTAACAGTTTTTTAATTACGCGTATTAGTGAATTTTAAACAAGTTTTAATTCGAGGCTGCGTTGACAAGATATTTAATTTTAAAATTAAAACAAAGCGTACTGACAGTGATTGCAATATAGAAACGAATAAATTGCTAGGGAGAGCAACTTTAAATTTATCAAAGCTATACTACCTTCAAAATATTCTGCACATTTTGTAATTTATAATAAATTTATTCAATTACTGACCCGTTTGTACTATTGTAATTCTCTGAAATTAATATCAATACTTGGGCACAGATGTATTTATTAGAATCAATATTTAATTTCATTTAATTCATAATGTTAATTTAATGCTGTTAATTCGAAGCACCATACGCGCTCCGTACTTCGTATATCAAAGTCAATGTATTCCCCAGATGTCAAAACAGCTCGCTTTCCTTCGCTTTCGAATTTGTATTCTACTTCATTCATCGACGTCATTTATCGACGCTAACTAATCATTCAATTAAAATCTATGTATATTTTGTAATTGTGGTATTGACTTGCCGATAAATGATGAAGAGAATGAGTTGCGTTTCCGCGCCGTCGATTTACATTTTAATTACACAGTGGCACGAAAATGTTAACCGGAATATTTATATTGAACATAGTGAATGCGCAATGTCTCAAACAACTTTAGCAGACGCGCTCGCGCCAATATATCAACGTCATCGTTCAAGTTAATTGGCCGACGTTGTACAGCTTGCACCTTTCGTGTTTTCGCATAATAACTTCACGCGGTTGCAATGAATTCCAACATCTGTACGTCTACGCGAATTCCAAAAATACACAATTCTATTAGATCCTGAGAAATTTTTCCAAGAAATACATGATGCCTAATAAATCTTAATAATGAAATTAAAACTATCCAGAAATAAGAGCGATTTTGCAATATATCGTCCTCCTAGTTGTCACATAAAGGTTATTTACTAATTTTGTGGTTTTTTAATATAATTATTATGTGCTTTTCTAATTTTTAATTTCTCTAAAAATCGTATAAATATAATAGAAGTTGATAAAATAATTTTTTCTACGAGATATCGTTTTATGTAAAGGAATAATTGCAAAGGTGTTATTAATTTATCAATTTATCATTCTTAGCGTGCAGCAATACCGTATATACCGAATTAACGTACAAGAGTTGAAAAAAATTTTCAATTACGCATCATGTGCGAAAGGATGGTCGCATCGGGCGATAAATTCCGCTTGTACAAGCGCAGAGCTATAATCACACGATGCACCACATGAAAAAGATATGTCGTAACAAATGTTCGCAAAACGGAAGACGCTGGCATACCCGCACGCTGATTGACTCCTGATCCCGAGAACGTGTGTTATGCATCGTTGGCATTTCAGACGCGTCGAGAAAAATGCGTCACGGCCAGTTTTCCTCCGAGGCACCACGGATCTTTCTCTCTCTCTCTTTCTCTTTCCGTTGCATTCATAATAATCGCTCCGCGGTATTCCGTGCTATTATCCGCGGGCCATCCTCTCGTTGGAGTTACGAACCCGCAAGAACTCCGCCCGATCGGAAACAGATGATAATCAGGCCGGTTAATTGTCCACGTCGGAATCGCCGCTGGCCGCCGCACTTCATTTGCCATTTGCCGCCGCGAGGCGGTATTGATTAGCGTGATAAAGGAGGGTTGGCTCTCTCCGTGCCTCGGTTTTTAGCAATGCACTCTACCGCTACCGGATCGACGAACGGCGATAGCTCGGAGATGAGTTCGCGAGATCCGAGACGGAAACGAAAGTAAAGAATACCGCAAACGAGCGTGCGGCCAGGCAGTCGCCAACGTGTCGGAAAATTGCATACAATTAGGAATACTTAGCTTCAAGCGTGCGATTGTAATAAAGCAGAGCAATCGAGTGTCTATTTTGAGACTCTATATATAGTTTCGTTCGACGATTTTTTTACAAGATACTTAAATATTATGTCTTAATAATCAATTTCGCGTAGAAATAATTTACAATTAATTTGCAATCACAAATTTCATCTATTTAAATATAAATGGATTTTAAAATAAACATCTGGGAGATAAAATTACAACCTTGACCGTAAGTTAAGATTGTGGAGATGGAAACGAGATTTTCGGAATTCCGCCAGCCTCGGCACTTCGGGACCGTCGTGCCGATCTTGCCGCCCGATATCGTACACTCGCGTGTACCTTATTTGCAAACCGATAAGATGGTTGTATCTTCGGGGATCTCTGCACGATTTTCCAAAGTTATCACCACCGATGTTTATCGGCGAGTCGAAACGACGCCGCTACCGATCGGCTACCATGAATACTTAATTAAGCACATCACAATCGACAATTAATTACGTGCGCGAGCGCCGAGTACGAGTGGGTCTAATGAAGTTAATTAAGAATCTAATATCGCGGCGAACGTTCATCGACCATCTCGTGTACACACACGTGCGATTATGTCAGAATCTCAGTACGCGGCAAACTAATCCTATCGCCGCTTAAATTAGTACTTTACGCACACTCGATTGACGGACGATTGAAAATCTAAGGTTCCACTTTGGGGAAACGCAGCGAGATAAATTGGCTAACGGGACCGCGATAGAAAAGCCAATATCACTCCCGATTTTTGTCCCCGCGATCACGCGACCGGTAAACGCGGCGTGAATTATGCGAAATCCGGGTATCCGATTGCAAGGACTTTACAGGCTTGCGACCTCGTCGCAATCTATCATTACCAAGATCCAAGTGTCTAAAGAAAGAGAAAGGGACACTCGAATTAGATCGACAAGATGTACCGTTGTATTTAGACACTTTTCTAAACAAGGGTAAGTTAACAGTTTGGCTCATTCCAAATCATTTCTTAAAGAGGTGCAAGAAGTATAGATATGTATCGTTTAAAAAACATCTCAATAATATACTTGCGATTTGTCGATAATCTGTAAGATAATCTGATTATAATGAAAAAATGCCCGCGATCGCTTTCTTCCTGTGCATGGGATACACCTGACGATCAATCAGCCTGGCAACCCCGAATTGTACCGTACGATATCTTGATTGCGATCAATCTGATATTTTCACGGCGATCGCTGCGGTGCGGCAGCCGACGGCGGTTACGATTGCAATTGATTGGTCAGGTCGTCGCCGTTGCAGCCGGCCCGGGAATAGGAAATCCTGTTTTCGGCGGACCCATAATCGTAAAAGCCGTTGCCAACCTGTTCCCCGGACACTCTCTTACGGTGATTCTAGCACTGACCAGCCGGCGCGGATCAAGATATCCCGTGATAGCCGACATTTCGCCCAAGCGACAGTAAAAATTACAAGAAATTCTTCGCTTCTTCGTAACTTATCGTATTACAGCTTTATTATAAATTTGGGAATTACCATATTCCGCCTCGATGTTATCTTGGTAAGCAGATCGGCCGTCGTCATCAAATACGAAACTACTGCTATTAATTTGTGCTTAATTATTTCCATCGGTTTCGATGGAAATCCTAATTCTAAGTAATACTTTATATAATTATATCATTCTAATAAATTGTAAATATAAGCAGTTAATGTAATTCTAATTAAATTCTAAATGTAAATATATTATTGTATGTCTAATATAATTGTAAAATAATTCTATCTCTAATTCTTACGTCTCCATCGAAATATCCGTTCTCTCTATTTTCAACAATTTTATTCGGCAAAGTTCAACAGCGCACTCGATACACTTTATGCAAACCTCGTAGCGATAAAAGCACGCGCTTGGTTCTGGATCGTTGACGCACGTGTTACAGTTGGTTTTCAATCGCACATTGCTCCAATACGTTTCGCAATAAAATACTCGATCACAGACGTTGTTCTACGGTAACTAGAGGCCGAAGGGCTGTCGGATTCACTGATCGTCTTCCGACTGCATGGTGTTCAGCAGAGCGAAGAAGGAGTACGAGCCTTTCAGGATCTGCGAAAAATCCGATAAACCGATCGATCGATCGTCCGTGATTCAATCACGAGATGATAAACGACTTAATTCGCGAGTGCGCCGAAAAGAAGGTGCTGTGGAAAATTTAATCGAGTAATCTGTGCGGCAATTATTCAAAATATATCCAGCTCCAAATTACTTCACGTGAGGATCTAGCTCAAGACACTTCGAGCGTACACGAGAAAATCTTCGGATACACGAGCCAGTGCTTTACCATTAAGACTTTGACGGTGTCTATAGGCATTCTGTTGCGTCAGACAATCGCGCGACCATCGATTTAATACGCGGTTGTTCACCAAGGATGGGCGGAGAACACGCTTCGCCTCTCTGCACGTGCTAGAGGTGCGTTTTGCTCTTCGTGTTTCTTCTGAACTCCTATGGAGCACCATTCACATTATGGCGTTCCATTCTTTTGTCTCGAATGTGTTTACGATGATTGGCATCATCTCGCCGCGGGCGAAAAGAAGCAAAATCGGACGAAACCACCGCATGATAACGCGTCGCACGATATTTGAAGTTATTAATCTTCTGGTAAAATCTACCTATTTAAACCTTTATCTAACGATTTAGCAAGTCGTGTGAATCATATTTTTTGCCAATCATATTTTTTGTCTCGCCGAGTTCGTTGGATCTCGCTGAAAACGAGATTCTTTACGAAATCGCGCGAGAAATATGATCTCTATAAATTCAGTCTTGCTCGTCGAGATCCTGTACGGTGACTTTAATTTCGTTTATTTATTGCGATCTCACTCGACATTTTTCCATCACGCAGAAGTATCACGCGATATTCAACCGGTCTGAGGATACGATGGATCGTCGTTGCATCTTTTTTGAAGATGTACTCACCGCGGTGAATGTATCCATGGATAAGACGTAGAACACACCTGCTTTCAGATTTATCGTTCTTTTCGAAAATATTATAGACAGTATTAGCAGACGTCCAGTCTTGCTGGAAAGCTCGTCATCCCATTTCGAAAGCCACTGACTTCGCGTCAACGACGCGCTCTGTAAGATCATAAATCCGCAGTGCAATGTGAAAGTACACTTTAATTGTGCATATTATAAATTCGAATTAATTACGTATCGTGTTAATTACAGGTTGTAATTCCGAAGAAATTGTAAGTCTATTAAAATGTAACTTTTATCGACTTTCTATTTTATATCAATTTTTTGTTGATCATGTTAGCACGACACTTTTATTAATGCCGATAATAAAAATAGGTTTTGTATTACATTTTTTTACCTTCAATATATCGTATTCAATAAGATATCAAACTCGATAATAAATTTGATATATATACAGTTTCCGGATTGCATCATTAGATATTTAAAAAATTGCGTTGCATAACTCGAGATAGCGGTAAAGTAGCGATGAAAGAGTGGTGTTTTAAAGTAAAACAAGTAGTGTTGCTACGGGACATAATCGCACCTGGTACATCACTTCGTTTCCTAGCCAACAGAAGTAGAAGAGCTGCGAAAGGGCCGCCATCAGGTATATCGCGAACTTGCAGGTGTTGGAGCTCTGGCCTATGACCTGTTCGAAACAAAGCGAGGGCTCCGATCACGATCTGACCGCGACACTTGGCACTTTGACTTATCACGACTCACCAAGGCGGCTTGGAAGCCGGTTAGGCAAATCATCGTGGTGCTCGAAAGCATCTGAACGAACATGCCGGCGCTAAAGACCTCGTTGAAGTCGTCTATTATGGCGAGCAGACGTTGATGGTTGCGGATGGTTCGCCCGAACCGTTCGGCGAAGCCGTCGCCGCCGCGGCGAATCGCATCCGGATCATAATTATCCTTTCCGCAGCTGGTCGTAGAAGATACCCCGTAACAAGCGTTTCTACCGGTGATGCCCGGACTGTCTCGCTTATCTGTCTCGTCTGGCGTCGCGTCGTCGTGCCGGCCGTCGCTGCCGCAGCTCTTGAAGTGCGCGTTCAAAATCTCGAGCTGCACGAGAAACAGAGTGCACAGACTGGTGAGCAAACTGTCCATCCCGATGATGGCGGTCACGCCGACGGAGACGGTGCAGGCCTCGACGAAGAAGCCGACCTCGTGCCACGGGTGCACGGTCGTGTCGAAGGGATAGCGCGCCCTGATCGGGAGCTCGCCTTTCTCCACAGGCACGACGAACAGCAGGGCGATCACGAGGAAGAAGCCCAGGACGCTAAACCCGTAGAAGGTCACGCGGCAGAGCAGCAGGTACTTGTCCAGGATCTCGTCTTCGCCAACTGATTAAATGGACAATTAAAACTCGTATATCAGCTGATCGCAGTAATCGCGTCTGACAGCTGCAGCGGGCAGACGCGTGAAAAGCTTCGGGCTTGGGAGACAGCGATTCCAGAGAAAAGTACAATCGTTTTCACAGTCAATATCGCCGGTGTGTACTTTGCGTCTTACGGCCTCGCGCGACGCGATATTAGAATTAGTGAAACTTGATATGCGATTTTAAAGAAACGTCACGCGTGTCGCGCGGATGCGTGTATGATCAGGCGTGATTATGCGAACTGTCGAGTAATTCCCTGTGAATGAGTCGCGTAGATTCTTAATCGCGCATCAAGGGGATACGTCGCGAGAAGGACTGGCAGAGGCCGACGGGAAAAATTTCTCGAGTGGTCCTGAATTAACGGAGAAGAGCTACGATGGCCCTTTCACAGTGTCCCTTTCAACATGCGGATCTCATTAAAACGTAAAATTACGCTTCGGCCTGTCATCGTATTTGCTTGACAGAAGATGTATATATTAATGTGTATACATGTGACTTGGCATTAAAATCATTTACATGACATTTCACTCTTTCACGGGTTGCAACAATTCAATAATCGCGTAAGAATGGCTACAGATAGTAACATAGATATGGTCGTTAGATAAACTTAAAAAAGATATCACCGACAGCAAAATTATACAACACACGAAATACCGAATAATAGTCTGAAAGAGTGATATTCCTGTTAAAATTACTTGATAACTCCCGGGGACTCTCCTGCTATATCAGTCGCAATTATACATTTAAATGCTGGGTTACACGAACACCGGCAATTTTACTCACTGAGAAATTCGCAGAGTCGATCGCAGCTATCGATGGTGTCGCGAAGCAATCGTACAATCTGCTCGCGACGAGTTTGGAAGATCATCACCTTGACGAACACGACGACGATACCGGCGAAGATGCATCCGTCGTCCGTGACGATCGACAGATCGTCGAAGTTCGAGCAAATGTCAGCGAATAGAGTCACCATGAAGACGAGTATGATTGCTAGGACGGATTTGTTATACACGTGGTACGAGCACCTCAGCAACGCGGGTGAATTCGAGTCAAGGACCCACAGGCCAACGTATCTACAGGGAAAGAAACAATTTTGCTGAAAGATCCTAAAATTTAGCTGGATACAGATCTGAAAATAATTTTGTTGGACCATCAAAATAATTATATTGGAAACTGAAATTGGTGGTTGCTGGAATATCAAAATTTTATTTTCAACATTGCTCGTCAATATTCAGTTTCCAACATCATTATTTTGATCGGTCCAACAAAATTATTTTTAGATTTGTATCCAACTAATTTAGATTTTTCAACAAAAATCTGAAAAAAATTGTTCTTTCCATAGACTTGAAATTATTACAAGAGGATATATTGTAATTGAGGGAACGAATTCGAGAAGTCGCGGTTCGGGGATCGCGCAAACGGCGCGCAGATACGAATATACACAATTTTAAGATGTAAAGTAAACAGAGACAATACGAGCCACGTGATAAACGAGTCGAGCGAGTCATGCTCGCGCGTGATATACGCGATAAGATTTTTTACGGCAGTTCTCACTTTAGGCAGGCGAGATGCGCAGCGTTAAACTTCCGGAACTGTTCCAAACGACTGCCAGTCGTTCCTCGTGTCATCCCTGCTGCTCCGCTTCGCGTGGCCACGGCGACGGTAAAGGACACGCTGCAGCGCGCAGGGCATGGGAGGTCACCTGTGTCGCGTGGGTGCGATTTTCCGCGCGACGTGTATGTATATCAAAGTACTCGTTATCGAGGGTCGTTTGAATCCATACACTCCCCTTCGCCGCGCTCGAGAAAATTGCCCATGATAAACCGGGCGCAGATTGTACTGTCCTTCCTCTTTTTTTCCTCGAATTACAGACACTCGCTCCGTTGCGGCAACGTCTTCTACTCCTCGCCAATAATTTAAGAAATTGACGGTAATTGCAACGTCCGCTGCAATACCGCGATTCGTTTCGTTTCCCAAGCGTCTTGCACTTTATTGCGATATAAGAGGCCAATGCAGAAACAATTTATCAAGCCGCAACATTCACAAGCGTTCTAAAACGGTCTGTCGTTTTCCACTTATCGAAATAGCCGACTCGACTGCAAATTTAACAATGTGTGTTTTGCCGTGAGACATTTCGATTACTGCAGTATTGTCAGTTGTCTCGCGATTGTGTAACGACATCGTGATTTATTGCTGATGCACAAGAGTGAAAAAGAATCGCTGAAGTATTTCTACAATGGTAGAAATATCCTCTCTTCCTCAGAAAGAAACATAATTTTTACAATTTCTTCACGAATGATCTAGTGGTAATTATATCAATTTGCTCTCATATATAACTTTCATCTTAGCTTGCTCTTAATACATTTACTTTTATTTAATATTGTAACTTGCTGTTACACATTTTCTTATTTATTTGCTTTCATTTAATTAGAATTTATTGTTGTACTGTTGCAAAATTAAATTTAAATTAGAGAATAATCACGGAGTTACAATATATGTTTAAAACATTTTCGTTCGAAATAAAAAGATAATTCCGGTACCGGGAATCGAACCCGAGCCTCCTGGGTGAGAGCCAGGTATCCTAGCCACTAGACCATACCGGATTATGGGAGCTCTCTTTCAGATATTGAAGAAGCGGTAGTTATTGCACATTAATTGCAATAACTTTTTATATTATCGATATTTTTATATTTTATAAACAGCGTCGTTAGCTAATTGTAATATAGATCAATAATATATCGCAGCAATTTTACGAAAGATCTATTGGAAACAGTTAGAATCATAAACAAAAAATAATTTCTAAATTTTATATCTAGTATTATATGTAATATTATTAATAAATATAATAATAGTTATTATATTGCATGTAACGCCGCAATAAATAATGAAAAAAAAAATCATTTTTGAAACATTAAAAAAATATTGTTGCACTGAGAATCGAACCGACGACGTTTAAGTGACGCACTCTTCACGGTAAATTCGATGCTTCGATCGTTTCATTTACTAATTATCGGGACAAAATAATACAAACGACAATTGCATAACTTGTGACAATGGGCAAAAGAATTTGTCAGAAGTGGGATTCGAACCCACGCCCTCAGAGAGGACCAGAATGCCCTGAACTCGGTTTAGAACCGAGAAGGTGTGAACCTTGAGTCTGGCGCCTTAGACCGCTCGGCCATCCTGACAATCGACAACGAGTCTGTTAATAATGCAGATAAGGTGCATATAGCAAAGCATACGCGTTAAATTTAGTTCCTGTAAGATACACATGAATAAATATCATAACGCTTCCGATAAAACGTGTAAAAAATTAATTAAATTTGCCATAAATTTTGTAGAAAGCTCTTTCTACAAAATACATATACGAGATCTGGAAACTGTATCATGCAATTTTTTAAAATAAATTCGAGAACAACTGATTATGTTTCTTTGTACTTTTCACTCACGGCGTTTCCACGAGCAAAAGAATTTGTCAGAAGTGGGATTCGAACCCACGCCCTCAGAGAGGACCAGAAAGCCCGGGGAGAACTCGGTCTTGAACCGAGAAGGTGTGAACCTTGAGTCTGGCGCCTTAGACCGCTCGGCCATCCTGACAATTGAGCTCATCGCCTCTAAAATAATTATTTGAACATTTTACAATTTACATTTTTATATCTTTCATTAACGTTCTTTTTTTAGATACAAATTTGTATATCAAAAATACTTTTCCTATTATATATGCGTTTTATTTTACAGATACCAAACTGAAAATAGAAATATTTCGTTGTTACTCCAAATTACAAATTACTATTTACAAGTTTCGCCTAAGATGCAAATTCGATTCAATACATAAAATTTTATGAGAATGACTTTAAATTAAAAAATATATATAAATTTCCAGATAAAAGAAACTAGATTATATATAAATTCAAAAAAAATTTGTTTCCGCCCGGGATTGAACCGGGGACCTTGTGCGTGTGAAGCACACGTGATAACCACTACACTACGGAAACCCACAACAGATGGGTGTTCTGATACGAAACATCTACCTCGTAGACGCTTTTCAAAAATATGAATCATTGGGATGACATTACTTTATATTAAAAAATTCCATTCAAAATACTATAAGAAACATATTACGTCAGAACTTTATATTTAACAAAGTCTGCAATTCTCTAATAATGTAAGTACTTCATTTTACTTTTATCATACTAATTTATTAAATCAATAATTAAATATATTATTTATCAAGAATTAAACTCTTTCGATAACTATATTCTTGTCTAGACTACTAGGAATGACGAAATATGTAATAAAAAAATAACAAATCGAATTATAATTCTACAGGTTAATAATAGATTAGATTGAAGAAAAAAACAAATAAATTCGAGCACAGTGGATTTTATAGCACAGACTGTAAGAAGTATTGACATAAAAGAGAGTATGATAATAGTAATTTATAAAGAAATGCGACGCCGTTACGTTCGTAAATAAATCCTGCTGAGATACAACCGTCCATCACGAGCGGCCGGCACGCCGGAGATACTTCGGTATCTTTTGAATTGTAAATTCTGCATGACATTAAATCGAGACTGTTCACCGTCGCTCCGGTGGATCTACGGAATTCCTACAGCTTTTCTCTCCTACTCTCTCCTGAGATTTTCGTCACGGTAGAGGGATTTACAGATCCATTCGGGCAATGCTATGGTTATGTTATTATGTATGGTATTGCGTTACGACAGCGACATCGATCGCAATTACGTTCCTTACGTACGTTTTCTCGCTCACAATTTTATCGACGGAGGCTAACACGCCGGTACTTTAACCCGCAGTAGGCACAAAGATAAACTTACAAATAAAAACTTTTGAAAATTTATAATAATTATATAATTAGAATGTTATTTTATTTGTTACGTTTTTAAAATGCGTACTCAAATTTTTCATAAAGTCATCCTAAAGGGGTTCTTTACGTATCACGTAAATAATAATTAATCCACATTATGCCCCGTAAATAGGGTAATAATTTTAAATTTTATACACCTTTAAACCACCGCCTTGTTCGTAAAGTGTTGAGATTCGCAGATAACGCAGGCTCTTGAACGAACGAAAAGCTGCGTTTAAACGAAAATGCACAGCTCGATCGTGTGAACGCCCTCGCGGATACGCGTCGTGTGCGTTTGCAAATCGTGCAGAGAGATCACAAGGGACACGTTAATTTTCTCTCTCACATCCCGAAATTTTGCTTCAGGTGCGGCTGCCAGGACTGCCCTGTGTCGCTCGCACTCGCCCACTTATATTTTCTCGAAACTCATTTAACGCGCCTCTTCCACGAAGAAGCACCTTCTCCGCGGCCGGTTTTTGGTCAAAGGGGAGAGAGGCGACCTGTTGCTTATATACTTAACAATCTCGAGAGCGAGCAGTAGAGACATTAATGAACGTAAACGACGCCGCGGTCTAATAAATTGGCGCGCCGAGATTGTTGCAGATTCTAAATTGCCGTATAATGTCTGACAATTGCCGAAGAAATCGAAATTTTAAATATTTCTCAGTTTTATATCTCTATATTCGTTCGATATATATATGTATATAATTATATTGCACCCGATACACCTGGGCAAAATCGAACGATAAATCGTAATTTTTATTTGCAGTTGCCACCAATTTCCATTGTCATTGATACAATTCAATTATTATACGTATCCGATACTGGCACGATAAAAAAAACAAGAGCGAACACGCGCGAGGCTAAACGCACTTCGAGTTTGCATCGATATAATTTAATAAATTTAATTAACGCGGCGCAGATGGGTCGTTAAAACACAAATTTATCGCGGGATCGAGGCTACGCGAGCGCGGGAGAAAAAGAATCGTGAAAAGTTACAAGCGTAGAAAGTCGTCGGACTTTTGATCTTATAATACAAGGATTACGGTGCGGGCTTGTTTATTTATTGAAAGAATTCCGCCTAATTCGTGTTTTCAATTCGCGAACTCGAATAAAAATGAAAGCGCGGTGGGAAAGCGGGTCGCCCTAAAGCGTTTTATCTCCTCGTGCGAAGAAATCGATCGGGCAGCAACGAGACTCTGCTATTGTCCGATGCCGCAGCATCCCGCATCACGGATTCCTCCCCTCCTCCCAACCCGAAATCTGGATCGTTCTGTTTACGATCTGAATAATTCTGTTCGAAGTATTCGAGCGTCGTAACGGTTGTCTACGTAAAGGCATTAAGACCGGTCGCGGATCGGTGCGCGACCGTGAAGTACCGAACTCGGCGGCGGTCGCCGAGAGATTACACGCGTCCTCGGGATGCCAATTCGTGTGGGTATCGCACCGTGAAGTGCTCCTCTCGCCACTTAGCGGGCGAGAATTTGGGACGGCGATGCGCGGCGTTGATAACGCTGTCGTTATGCGACACGCGCATTTGCACACACGTTCCGCTACGCGGCCGTGCGACTCCGATACGGAGAGCCCCTCGGCGGGGGCCGCATATTGATGCTGCGAGGGTCCATTTACATTCCCATTTACCCGTCTCCATCACAATCATATCGACTTTACTTATAATACTTTGAAGAGTAAAACGCTTTGTAATATCACCCCGGTAAGTGATAACATGTGCCCGAAACCTATCGGATACTCGCTCGGTTATGGATTTCATGATAAATTCGACAGTCTCTTCGATGAAAGTTCGATAAGAGAGATCATTATTTATTCAAACTTTCATCGAAGCAACCTCTCGTCCATTTTTCGTATTATAATGTCCAATATTTATAACTGTATCCGTGGACATTCGGCATGTTTCATGTATGTACAGTTATATCAAAAAAAGTCGCACCGATAGGATTTAAGCCGACTTAGAAAGTTAAATGTATAAATCTATTTCATCCTCGCTCATGTCGGCCGCACTCAAATCTATGAAAGTCACTTTTTAGACACTAATCTACGAAAGGCAACTTTCGAAGCGTACATATATGCAAAGGAAGAACGTAAACTTGCAACGAATTTTTGCTTACAAGTCAAATGTATCCAGACAATGAGTCAGTAGAAAGAAAGACCTACGTAATATTCGATTTATTTACAAAATTACAATAAATTATATGTCGGAAGTGGATCGATGCGAGCTTAGACCCAGAGTTATGTAATCGGATATTATACTAATAAATAATCGAGACTATTCTACGCCTGACTAAAATATTAACCCTCGCTCAATCAAAACGAAAATGCGAAAACACATTTTCTGATAGGAAATCACAACATTAATTTTGAAACGTAGCGTAGGAAAATACAAAAAAATTCATTCCAAATGTATATAGGTAATGAGAAAAGTTCGTCGTGTTTTTTTATACGTCTAGCAAAAGTTTCGTTAAATGCAAGAGTTAGCAATACGGAGATGAAACGTTCCTTTCAAATATACGCCGAACGATACTAAATAGTCGGAAGTAACGTATAATCGCGGGGTATAACAAGATATTATGCGTATCATAATACTCGATGTGTCCGAGAAATGCAACAATTGAGCGATCCGTCGTGTCACAGGAATCCTAATATATATCCTAATCAGACTCGCAATTCTTAGTCGATACACTGTTTCAATAACTCAATTCCAACGGTGTAATTTCCTGACTGCGTCTACATCGTCATTTAAAAGCCGCTCGCCTGTGAAATTAATTTGAGTATACTGACTGCTTAATGTGGCAACAATTAAGCGCATCACTATTCGCACGAGGTTTGCAAGCCTCTAAGCTTTCCTGTCACGTAAACGCAGAGATCGAAGCGATCATATCGTATCTTATGTACGTGTCGTTTGACGTGACACATTTGCTACATCAACTGTTGAAATAATAACACGCTATTATTATGAGCAGCATGCAGATCGCGCGCGAACAAGAGATTCCCGGAGATATTACACCTAAACGTTAAATTATATGAGCTACAATCCTGTGGAACTATACGTTCTGTAATAAATACAACATGGATAACTTGCATGCAGTTAAAATTCATATCCAAGAATACATCCCTTAATAAGTATAATTGTCATCAAACTTATTTTTAAATTGTCCGATAAAGAAATATACTGAATATCTCTTAAGAATGTAGCAAAATATATATCCTATAAAAATACAGAAGAGGTAATTGTTTCACGCAAAGAAACTATTATCACATTATGATCTATGTATGACCTAGGAGAGACTGTACTGTGTTAAAGAGAGAAACTCGATTTTTTATACAATCCATCGCGAATACCTGTGACGAAAGATACTGTGACGAAAATGTGGTATATGAAACGAGTGTACGATAAAAGAATCGAATTGTATAAATATATAATAAAAAATAAAGGTACTTAAAAAATTCACTTTTTCCTCTTGTCGCAATCAGTCGTCTTTTGAATTATCAATTTATTTCGCTGCCTCGTTACTTTGGTCGTCGATCGAGTGCTCGGTGTGATCTGCTTCAATCCTTGCTGCAGAATTCTGCACGGGCTGGTCGCCCGTGGCGGTGTACTACCCTTCAGAAGAGCTTCAACGTCCGCCAGCCGTTTCTTCAGCGCTCTATTTTCCTTCTTGAACCTCGTGAGCTCGGAATCCTTGTCCATCCGCTCGTAGCCGGAGCTGCTCGTCTCCTCTGCGAAGTGCCGGAACACGTGGTGCAGCTTATCCTCGTACTGCCGCTGCATCAGGATCATCCGTTTCTCGGCCTCCATCAGCCGCCAATCCTGATTCGCGATGTGGGCCTCGAGCTCGTTTATCTGAACTTCCAGAGTCTTCGAGCTCTCCTTCAGGTCGATCACCTTGCGGAAGTATTTCATGAATAACGTTATTATCTCACCGTGAGAGAGCTTCTTCAAGCGCTCCGTCAGCATCCTCTCGCCCTTCTCGCGCTGGGACTGATTCTCATCGAAATCCTTCCGTCCGCAGATCATCTCGTTCTTGTGCTCGATCATCGCGTCGATAGCTTCGATGGTCTCGCCGCATTCGAGCAGTTTACGTTCCTCGACCGTCGTCAGGGTCCTCTCCTTCTGGAACTTCTCGTCTAAATCGCACTTCTCGTCCACCAGGCAGTCCCGAGTGCGTCGCAAATTCCTAATCTCGTGCCGCAACGCTTCCTTCTCGTCCATGTCCGCGGTTCTCTCCAGATCCATAGACTTCTCTTTCAGCACGTGATCCAGGTGAGATATCCTCGCGCTGACGTCCAGCAAGTTCTTCATCTTGTCCGAACAATCTATCTTCGATTTCGTATTGTGCTTCTCGTCCTCGCTCTCCGACTGCATTTCCTTCAACTTGGACGCGGTTAGATTATATTTCTCCTCAAGCTCACGAATCTTCTGCTGATCCTTCGCCAACTCGTCCTCCAACTGTCTCTTACGTTCCTCTTCTCTCTTTAATTGCCGTTTTAATTTATCCATTTGTTTCTTCGATGTATTTAACGAGGCTTCTAGTTCCAGAACCTTCTTCGCGGAATCACCCGCTATTTGCTTTATCATATCTATATCCATCATTCGTTTCTCGTAATGTATCGCTATATTTTTCATTAATTCAATTTCTTTCTTGTGTGTCTTCTCGTCGGGACTCTTGTACATATGTGCATTTTCCGCTTGCGCCAATTGCGTTCTCGTATTGTAATACTCCTCTTCGAGTTTACTACGTTTACGTTGGAATTTTTGCTTCGCATTGGAGCGCGTATCGGAATTCTTTATCATATCCGCGATAAAACGTTGCTTGATCTTAATTGTCGTCTGCAGTTCCTCGATACGTTTATGTGCTCCATCCAAATTTGATTGAATCTTCTTCACTTGCGATTGTTTCGCCTCGTTATTTAGCGTCAGAGCTTTGAGCTCTTTAACAGGTTCGGATATTTCGGTGTTCTGGAGGGCTTCAAGTAAGAGATCGGGCGAATTGTCATTTTGTATCGCAACGAAATTGTCATTAACAATATTATCATTAATGTTTATTTCCGACTCGCGATTATCCAACACGTAAGGATTGATATATTCTGAGATACGATTTTCAAGGATTTGATTTTGGCAAGGTTTTAGGCTGTCGTTAAAAGCTAACACTTCGTTGCACATATCAGAGCCAGGCAGCATCGAATTTCTCCTGGAATTTGGATTTCTCATTGGTACAGGACGAGACACCGGTACATAATTATTATTTACGGATCTCGTCACTGGTGACACAATCTCAACATTCGCCTCTCTGAAATCATCCTTCGTGGAATCGACAATTGTATCCGTCTCTATCTTAAACTTGTTCATGCACTCGTCGAGCTTCTCCAGGAAATCTGGATTTTCCGAACTCACGTCGCTTTGATCGTCGTCTTCCTCCTCGTCGTCGTCCTCCTCTTCCTCCTCCTCCTCTTCATCTTCATCAACTTCGGATATCTCGCTTTCCGAACTGGACGTGCAATTAGAATTGAGCTTAAGTTTCGTTTGATTCGCTGACTCATCCGTTTTCTCATCGGTCTCGGTTACTTCCTCAATGCGTTCCAACGATCTCCTAATGTTCTCCGCGTATCCCTGCAAACTGGCGCTCTCGTCGCTGGCAATACACTCCTCATATTCCTGCTTCATGCACAGCCATTGCTCGATTTGATCCTGATCTGTATGCGGCAGGACGTTGCTCGTCATGAGCTTCGTGAACAGACCTTCGGCATTGGAGACCAACTTGGACCACTGAGAAGCCGCGAATTCCAATCTGAACAGATCCGCGCTGGAACTACGTTCGCCAGAGGTAGCAGGCGTCACCGCGTCGTGCACTTCCTCGCCAGCCTGCTCGGTCTCCTCCTCGGTCAACTGATGACGCTCGTGATTGTGATCTTGGTAGGATGGCATCGTGTCAATATACGGTACGCAACAGTGATGATCCAGTATTGGCTGATGTTGAATCCACGGGCTGTAATGCATCATTTTATCTCGCCTCAAATGATCTTGTCTAACGGAGCGCTCGTTCACTCGAACGCAAGTCAATCCGCACCTACAAAATGTCATTTCCGTCCTGTCATCTGTCTCATTGATTAGGTAAAACCCAATCGCGGTGTACGAAAGCTTTCCTACGTTAATCTCAAACTCCAGTAAAATATCAAATTACGTGAAAACGATACCCCAACGAAACTGCATCAATACGATACTTACGAGTGAATTTCCTAACCTATCGGGATTTCCCATGTCTCGCAATCATGCTCCGAAATTCCTCGTTTCACGGAAGGGTCGCAATGTATATTACATTCCGCAAGCTTTGCGAAGAAATTTCGTAAATAAAAATCACAATTTAACGATCGTGAAATTCCATCGTTATAAATACGCGAACCTTCCTTCCTTCTGGCTGGCTCGACGAGAAATCAATGTCAGCTACTCAGCTAAGCTAAACGCTGGCCACATTGGGCAATATCGCGTCAGAAACTGATGAAACTGTATATACGTTAGATTTGTTTTTTCTCCAGCTGCATTATTTCATTAATCCGCACTATTCCGCAGTTAAATCTCTAATTCTCTACACCAGACTACTCGAAACGACAGACATATGATATAACGTCTCCATGTGTACAAAACGTTAACTACGTAGCCACATCAAGGAATGTTTCAATGGATAACACATGTTACCGACGTTAGGTACATACAGTCGGTATAGAGGGAAGTCTGAAAATAAAAAAGACCTGCGCGCGTTTAAATAAAATCCATAATTATATGCCTCAATGTGCATATTGAACTACACGTAGCCATACGTATATATATATATTCTTAATTTACAAATAAAATTTAATCGAACAAAAACAAACAAATTGTACAAATCTTTCATTATCTCCAATTCCAATCAGGGCTTATTTACGTTGCATAAACATGTATTTATACATACTTCATTATTTATTACGCTACAAATTTATTTTTAAATATACTTAAAAAATACGCTAGAAATATATAATTAAATACAACGCATATAAAATAATACAACAAAAAAGACATTATGTAACATAAAATTATAGAAAATTATATGATAAAATTACCATATTGCATAAACAATATTTTTTATGTAAACTATTTTATTTAACCGATCATTATATTATATTAGCAATTTGCAAGTCATTGTCTAAATTTGGAATTTTTCTAAGCAAACTATATTCAATTTAAAATACAAATAAAATTTTGATTGAGCTAAAACAAATTAGCCCGTAAACGCCCTCCACCACCCCCGCCAATTATAATTAGCGGTCCTCGATCTTCTGTCCCAGGCAACAAGCTAATGCATAGCGTCAATATGATGACAAATAACGTTTATAGTTTGCTACCTGGGTGGCACGTATTTTTATACGTTTAATTATATACATTTATACCTTATTTTTTACATAATGTCTTTTACATACATATACATATACATTTATATACATATACATTTATATTTTATTTTATGTAATGTCTTTTGATATCGAAATGTCCCAGAAAACTTCAATATACAAAAGTACATAACTACAAAGATTGAGTACATTTGAAAATTTTCCAACTATGTATGTTTAATTTGAGATTTTATATAAGATTTTATTGGGTTAAAACGAATTAACCCGAAAAGGCCCACCACCACCCCCGTTATATTATATATTTTTAGATTATAATCAACGGTCCTCTTTTTTGTTTCAAGTAACAAGCTAATGCCAGTATAATGACAAATAACGTTAGTTTGATACTTGGGATATGTATTTTTTTAAGGTTACATACATTTATATTTTATTTTTTATAATATACTAGTGCATACATAACAGGCGCGCGCTTCGCGCGCGCTGCGTATTAAATCCCATACGTCTCCCAATTACATTTATACCAATTTACATTTTAATTAAACAAATGTTAATTTTTGATATAAAATAAATTTTCAAAAAAATGATGCTTTTCGCGCGGTGCGTATTAAACTCCATACATCGTCCAATAACATTTATACCAAACTATATTTTAATTAAACAAATTTTAACAATTTTCAATAAAATAACGTTTTAATCGGCCATATTAATTCGGCCATTTTTAATTAAAATCA